GGTAATTCAAGGCTCCGATATGGTTGCAAATAACTTTTATAGTTTTCATGTTATAACAGTCGTTTATATATCTTTTTATTGCATTATAGTTGCCATTTGTTTTGGTATATAATTTATTGCATAATATGTTTTTAGGAAATTGCCAATTGGATAGATCGGTAGAATTATTGTCACAGCTTTAAAAAGGCGGTAATTTGAGGTTCCGATATGGTTGCAAATAACATTGACAGTTTTCATGCTATGACAGTCATTTATGCTTCATTTAAAGCATTATGATTGCACTTTAATATGGTATATAATTTGTAGCATAATGTGTATTTTTACAAATTGGTCAATTTGATAGATCGGTAGAATTATTGTTCTATGTTTAATAAAAGCAGTAATCTGAGGTTCCGATATGGTTGCAATTAACTTTGGCAGTTTTCGTGCTAGGACACTTGTTTATGCACCATTTTAAAGCATTAAAATTGCCATTTGTTTTGGTATATAATTTATTGCATAATGTATTTTTAGAAGATGGCCAATTGGATAGATCGATAGAATTATTTTCCCAGGTTTAAAAAGGCGGTAATTTGAGGTTCCGATATGGTTGTGAATAACTTTGACAGTTTTCATGCTATTACAGTCATTTATGCATCAGTTTAGAGCATTATGATTGTACTTTAATTTGGTATATCATTTGTGGCATAATGTGTTCTTCTAAAAAATGGTCAATTTGATGGATCGGTAGAATTATTGTACTATGTTTAAAAACGCGGTAATTTGAGGTTCCGATATGGTTGCAAATAACTTTGACAGTTTTCATGCTAGGGCAATAGTTTATGCATCATTTTAAAGCATTACAGTTGCACTTTATTTTGGTGTATAATTTGTGGCATAATGAATTTTTACAAAAATTGGATAGATCGGTATATTTATTGGTACAGGTTCAAAAATGCGGTAATTTAAGGCTCCGATATGGTTGCAAATAACTTTGACAGTTTTCATGCTAGGGCAATAGTTTATGCATCATTTTTAAAGCATTACAGTTGCACTTTATTTTGGTGTATAATTTGTGGCATAATGAATTTTTACAAAAAATGGATAGATCGGTATATTTATTGGTACAGGTTTAAAAATGCGGTAATTCAAGGCTCCGATATGGTTGCAAATAACTTTTATAGTTTTCATGTTATAACAGTCGTTTATATATCTTTTTATTGCATTATAGTTGCCATTTGTTTTGGTATATAATTTATTGCATAATATATTTTTAGAAAATTGCCAATTGGATAGATCTGTAGAATTATTTTCACAGCTTTAAAAAGGCGGTAATTTGAGGTTCCGATATTTTTGCAAATAACATTGACAGTTTTCATGCTATGACAGTCATTTATGCTTCATTTTAAAGCATTATGATTGCACTTTAATATGGTATATAACTTGTAGCATAATGTGTGTTTTTACTAATTGGTGAATTTAATAGATCGGTAGAATTATTGTCCTATGTTTAATAAACGCGGTAATCTGAGGTTCCGATATGGCTGCAATTAACTTTGGCAGTTTTCGTGCTAGGACAGTCGTTTATGCACCATTTTAAAGCATTAAAATTGCCATTTGTTTTGGTATATAATTTATTGCATAATGTATTTTTAGAAAACGGCCAATTGGATAAATCGGTAGAATTATTAGAATTATTTTCCCAGGTTTAAAAAGGCGGTAATTTGAGGTTCCGATATGGTTGTGAATTACTTTGACAGTTTTCATGCTATGACAGTCATTTATGCATCAGTTTAGAGCATTATGATTGCACTTTAATTTGGTATATCATTTGTGGCATAATGTGTTCGTCTAAAAAAATTGTCAATTTGATGGATCGGTAGAATTATTGTTCTATGTTTAAAAACGCGGTAATTTGAGGTTCCGATATGGTTGCAAATAACTTTTATAGTTTTCATGTTATAACAGTCGTTTATATATCTTTTTATTGCATTATAGTTGCCATTTGTTTTGGTATATAATTTATTGCATAATATATTTTTAGAAAATTGCCAATTGGATAGATCGGTAAAATTATGTATTTTCACAGCTTTAAAAAGGCGGTAATTTGAGGTTCCGATATGGTTGCAAATAACATTGACAGTTTTCATGCTATGACAGTCATTTATGCTTCATTTTAAAGCATTATGATTGCACTTTAATATGGTATATAACTTGTAGCATAATGTGTGTTTTTACTAATTGGTGAATTTAATAGATCGGTAGAATTATTGTTCTATGTTTAATAAACGCGGTAATCTGAGGTTCCGATATGGCTGCAATTAACTTTGGCAGTTTTCGTGCTAGGACAGTCGTTTATGCACCATTTTAAAGCATTAAAATTGCCATTTGTTTTGGTATATAATTTATTGCATAATGTATTTTTAGAAAACAGCCAATTGGATAAATCGGTAGAATTATTAGAATTATTTTCCCAGGTTTAAAAACGCGGTAATTTGAGGTTCCGATATGGTTGTGAATTACTTTGACAGTTTTCATGCTATGACAGTCATTTATGCATCAGTTTAGAGCATTATGATTGCACTTTAATTTGGTATATCATTTGTGGCATAATGTGTTCGTCTAAAAAATTGTCAATTTGATGGATCGGTAGAATTATTGTTCTATGTTTAAAAACGCGGTAATTTGAGGTTCCGATATGGTTGCAAATAACTTTTATAGTTTTCATGTTATAACAGTCGTTTATATATCTTTTTATTGCATTATAGTTGCCATTTGTTTTGGTATATAATTTATTGCATAATATATTTTTAGAAAATTGCCAATTGGATAGATCGGTAGAATTATGTATTTTCACAGCTTTAAAAAGGCGGTAATTTGAGGTTCCGATATGGTTGCAAATAACATTGACAGTTTTCATGCTATGACAGTCATTTATGCTTCATTTTAAAGCATTATGATTGCACTTTAATATGGTATATAATTTGTAGCATAATGTGTGTTTTTATTAATTGGTGAATTTGATAGATCGGTAGAATTATTGTTCTATGTTTAATAAACGCGGTAATCTGAGGTTCCGATATGGTTGCAATTAACTTTGGCAGTTTTCGTGCTAGGACACTCGTTTATGCACCATTTTAAAGCATTAAAATTGCCATTTGTTTTGGTATATAATTTATTGCATAATGTATTTTTAGAAGATGGCCAATTGGATAGATCGATAGAATTATTTTCCCAGGTTTAAAAAGGCGGTAATTTGAGGTTCCGATATGGTTGTGAATAACTTCGACAGTTTTCATGCTATGACAGTCATTTATGCATCATTTAAAAGCATTACAGTTGCACTTTGTTTTGTGTATAATTTGTGGCATAACGAATTTTTACAAAAATTGGATAGATCGGTATATTTATTGGTACAGGTTTAAAAATGCGGTAATTTAAGGCCCCGATATGGTTGCAAATAACTTTTATAGTTTTCATGTTATAATTGGTTATAAATGGCATATTAGTTGCCATTTGTTTTGGTATATAATTTATTGCATAATGCATTTTTAGAAGATGGCCAATTGGATAGATCGATAGAATTATTTTCCCAGGTTTAAAAAGGCGGTAATTTGAGGTTCCGATATGGTTGTGAATTATTTTGACAGTTTTCATGCTATGACAGTCATTTATGCATCAGTTTAGAGCATTATGATTGCACTTTAATTTGGTATATCATTTGTGGCATAATGTGTTCGTCTAAAAAATGGTCAATTTGATGGATCGGTAGAATTATTGTTCTATGTTTAAAAACGCGGTAATTTGAGGTTCCGATATGGTTGCAAATAACTTTGACAGTTTTCATGCTAGGGCATTAGTTTACGCATCATTTTAAAGCATTACAGTTGCACTTTATTTTGGTGTATAATTTGTGGCATAATGAATTTTTACAAAAATTGGATAGATCGGTATATTTATTGGTACAGGTTTAAGGCTCCGATATGGTTGCAAATAACTTTTATAGTTTTCATGTTATAACAGTCGTTTATATATTGCCATTTGTTTTGGTATATAATTTATTGCATAATGTAAGTTAACTTCCTTTGTTATGTGAAATTAAAAAAAATTATTTTTAAGTGGACACCGACTTGTCCACTATAAATGAAACACGTTAATTTTTGGTTTACAATTTTATTCAACGACCGCTTGGTCAACCTCCCAAGTAAGACTAACTCTAACAATATTTTTTAAATGCTTAAATCTAAATAATTCTGCTGATCCAACTTATTCCATTCCCACGTTGTGAAATCTTCCAGACGAAATATGATCCTGCATACTAGCTTGCGCGTGTGCACCGTCAGCACAACCTTGTGTAGATTTTTCCCGCTCATGTATACTTGATTGTGTTAACTCCTCCCTTGCCAAAAATCTGCGTCCCGCAGATTGGGGTTTGCATGCCACGTTGCTCGTGCTCTGCAGCGGAGGGAGACGCACTTGAGAGTATAAAGCTTTCCAGCATAGGTAGCCTAGGAATGATAGGAGCAAAAAATAGTGCAATCCGCTAATATAGAGTAGTGGTATTTTATGTCTAGATTTTCTAAATTTTTTATGTTTGGTAAACTCATATTGTGAAGATATCCTATGTCAAGCTGCCGCCTTTCTTCTAGGATGGTTGTGACGATCTGGGGTAGGATTTGTATAGATGTCTCACTTCGGCTGGTGTACGTAACGTTTTTTATTTTCACTTCTTCGTTGTTAAGTCGCACTGCGTAGGTTCCCGAAAGGAATTTAGTAATGTAACCACTCTGGAGATTACCTCTAAAATTGGTAATGAATATGGTGTCTTCCATAACAAGTTCGACAACCTCTTCTTCACAGGATCTGTAGGAACATTTTGCTTCACCTCCTTTGATGAGAATTGAAACACAATCATCTTCAGGGAGTTTTCTCAAGCTCGTTTCCTCACACACGGTATTGTTGTTGATTCGCATGCATGGTTTGGTGATGCCATATGTCTCTTTCTCATTAACCAGCAACGTGTTAAACGGTAAGTCTATAACCTTTCCTTCCTGAGTGGATGGTTTGACAATAAGGTAGTTGTACTCAACTTCTCTTACCTTGGGCAGTGAAAGGACATAGAGAATCATTGAACCGTTTGTGCATACCCTTGGATCGGCGTACTCGATGGCCTCCAATTCATTAGAATAAGGGAGTGTTGCAATTTCGTCAATTATGCGGTGAATTTCTTCTCTGTCGAGTACATTAGAGTTGACTATGCCACCTTTGGCCATTTGCGCGGCTCTCATAACCTCGTTTACCTCTTCTTTGATGACCATTATTTGGCGTAGGATTTGATTAATGAATTTTTCGACGTTCGTTGCATTGACCTCGTTGTGAAATCGCGCCACCATTGCATTAACCTTGGATATTGTTTCCTGTGACGCTTTAAAGAGTCGATCGTTGATCACGTATTGGTGATTATTATTTTCAATGATGCTTTGTTCAGACCTCAACACATTATCCCAATCTGCTGCATCCGGATTGCCAGCCAACCACTTCCAAGATGAACCGATCCAGTTGATAGAGCGTTTCTGCTTCTTGTATTTACCCCTAAGCGTATCTAATTGGGAAAAAATTGTATTAACATGGAAATCAATTACCATCCGTTCTTTCTCATCCACAGCAATTTTTTCCAGCATTGCCACGGTTTGGCCTAATAGGCGCTCGTATTCCTCTAAGTTGATAACATGAACCAGGTTAAACCTTCCATCAACCAGCCAACCTTTGCCGTATTTGAATGTAACCAACTGCGAGTGGTATTCGAAGATTTGTAGACTGTTCACGGCCGTGAACCACGTGAGACTGGAATGATAAATGTCGTTTTGTCTAGCTCTACGATTAGTTTGTTAGAGTGTTAGTATGATTGTATTGTTAAAGTGTTAGTACGATTAGTACAATTAAATTTCTACTTCACATTTAATTAAATTCCTACTTCACATTTTCACTTATATAATATTTTAACGTTAATAGATTCTTATTCTATGTTAGTTTTCCCTTTATCTTAATTAATTTCATCTTTCATTTCCGTTTCCATCTCATAAATTTTATTATATTCATCTTTAAGGCTGAAGGCCACATTCTCGTTAGTAGATTCTTATTCTAAGTTAGTTTTCTCTTTATCTTAACTAATTTTATCTTTCATTTCCGTTTTCATTTTATAAATTTTATCGTATTCATCTCTAAGGCTGAAGGCCACATTCCCTCTTTTTTCTTTTTTTGAACTAGGTGTGATTATCCGCCATATGCAAGAAGTGCAAATGATAATCTCTTAAGCCATGGACTTCCTTTGCATTATGCAATTGGCATTGATCACCCTTGCTCTAAAGTAAATTTTCACCATTGCAATGATCTTCATTCAAGTTATTTTAATTACTTTCAATATACTTTCGCTTAAGCTTCCATAAAAAAATATCTCATCTCATATTCATATTTTGCCCCAATTGAAGGCTTCAATTCAGTTCAAGGTTTTCTCAGTAGTACGATTTCCTTATTCTTATGGCACCCATGGGGAATTGAACCCCTCCGCAAATATGCAGTTTCCACTATAGGTTTTGGGACCATTTACTTATATTTTTTGTGTGGACCGTAGATTCCGAGTTATCCCTTTTAGCATCAAGCGTTAATGGTTTAATTGCAAGAAACTTACTCGTGGTACGGAGATCTACCACGACTTATGACAGTGAGGACATCACTATCACAAATCGTTGTCCCAAAAAAAAAGAAAGTCGCATTAAGAGATACCATTAAGTTCAAAAAATGGGTATTGTACCCAATTTCCCATTTCCTCCACTTCTCCTTAAAAAAGGTAGAAGTTTTATCTCCATTTCTCTCCTTTCATCATTCACATGTCTATGGGGATTTGAACCCCTGCGTAAATACGCATACCGCTAAAATTTAAGGACCCCATAGGTATCCTTTAAGATTTAATGTGGGTCTTGTGAATCCTTTTTCCAGTGCTCGTTTGCACTGTGACCCGATTGTTTCTATCAACAACCGCTTTCTCATAAAGCGGTCGATGCTTTGCCCTGATCTGCTTATTCCTAACATGAACGGTATCACCCGCCTTATAATCCTTCGATAAGACACGACGCCTAGAATTATGTCTCTCCAAGGTTGCCTCTTGCTTTTTCTTTATCGATTTTTTCATGGGGTTTGCATGCCACTAGGAATGATAGGAGCAAAAAATAGTGCAATCCGCTACTATAGAGTAGTGGTATTTTATGTCTAGATTTTCTAAATTTTTTATGTTTGGTAAACTCATATTGTGAAGATATCCTATGTCAAGCTGCCGCCTTTCTTCTAGGATGGTTGTGACGATCTGGGGTAGGATTTGTATAGATGTCTCACTTCGGCTGGTGTACGTAACGTTTTTTATTTTCACTTCTTCGTTGTTAAGTCGCACTGCGTAGGTTCCCGAAAGGAATTTAGTAATGTAACCACTCTGGAGATTACCTCTAAAATTGGTAATGAATATGGTGTCTTCCATAACAAGTTCGACAACCTCTTCTTCACAGGATCTGTAGGAACATTTTGCTTCACCTCCTTTGATGAGAATTGAAACACAATCATCTTCAGGGAGTTTTCTCAAGCTCGTTTCCTCACACACGGTATTGTTGTTGATTCGCATGCATGGTTTGGTGATGCCATATGTCTCTTTCTCATTAACCAGCAACGTGTTAAACGGTAAGTCTATAACCTTTCCTTCCTGAGTGGATGGTTTGACAATAAGGTAGTTGTACTCAACTTCTCTTACCTTGGGCAGTGAAAGGACATAGAGAATCATTGAACCGTTTGTGCATACCCTTGGATCGGCGTACTCGATGGCCTCCAATTCATTAGAATAAGGGAGTGTTGCAATTTCGTCAATTATGCGGTGAATTTCTTCTCTGTCGAGTACATTAGAGTTGACTATGCCACCTTTGGCCATTTGCGCGGCTCTCATAACCTCGTTTACCTCTTCTTTGATGACCATTATTTGGCGTAGGATTTGATTAATGAATTTTTCGACGTTCGTTGCATTGACCTCGTTGTGAAATCGCGCCACCATTGCATTAACCTTGGATATTGTTTCCTGTGACGCTTTAAAGAGTCGATCGTTGATCACGTATTGGTGATTATTATTTTCAATGATGCTTTGTTCAGACCTCAACACATTATCCCAATCTGCTGCATCCGGATTGCCAGCCAACCACTTCCAAGCTGAACCGATCCAGTTGATAGAGCGTTTCTGCTTCTTGTATTTACCCCTAAGCGTATCTAATTGGGAAAAAATTGTATTAACATGGAAATCAATTACCATCCGTTCTTTCTCATCCACAGCAATTTTTTCCAGCATTGCCACGGTTTGGCCTAATAGGCGCTCGTATTCCTCTAAGTTGATAACATGAACCAGGTTAAACCTTCCATCAACCAGCCAACCTTTGCCGTATTTGAATGTAACCAACTGCGAGTGGTATTCGAAGATTTGTAGACTGTTCACGGCCGTGAACCACGTGAGACTGGAATGATAAATGTCGTTTTGTCTAGCTCTACGATTAGTTTGTTAGAGTGTTAGTATGATTGTATTGTTAAAGTGTTAGTACGATTAGTACAATTAAATTTCTACTTCACATTTAATTAAATTCCTACTTCACATTTTCACTTATATAATATTTTAACGTTAATAGATTCTTATTCTATGTTAGTTTTCCCTTTATCTTAATTAATTTCATCTTTCATTTCCGTTTCCATCTCATAAATTTTATTATATTCATCTTTAAGGCTGAAGGCCACATTCTCGTTAGTAGATTCTTATTCTAAGTTAGTTTTCTCTTTATCTTAACTAATTTTATCTTTCATTTCCGTTTTCATTTTATAAATTTTATCGTATTCATCTCTAAGGCTGAAGGCCACATTCCCTCTTTTTTCTTTTTTTGAACTAGGTGTGATTATCCGCCATATGCAAGAAGTGCAAATGATAATCTCTTAAGCCATGGACTTCCTTTGCATTATGCAATTGGCATTGATCACCCTTGCTCTAAAGTAAATTTTCACCATTGCAATGATCTTCATTCAAGTTATTTTAATTACTTTCAATATACTTTCGCTTAAGCTTCCATAAAAAAATATCTCATCTCATATTCATATTTTGCCCCAATTGAAGGCTTCAATTCAGTTCAAGGTTTTCTCAGTAGTACGATTTCCTTATTCTTATGGCACCCATGGGGAATTGAACCCCTCCGCAAATATGCAGTTTCCACTATAGGTTTTGGGACCATTTACTTATATTTTTTGTGTGGACCGTAGATTCCGAGTTATCCCTTTTAGCATCAAGCGTTAATGGTTTAATTGCAAGAAACTTACTCGTGGTACGGAGATCTACCACGACTTATGACAGTGAGGACATCACTATCACAAATCGTTGTCCCAAAAAAAAAGAAAGTCGCATTAAGAGATACCATTAAGTTCAAAAAATGGGTATTGTACCCAATTTCCCATTTCCTCCACTTCTCCTTAAAAAAGGTAGAAGTTTTATCTCCATTTCTCTCCTTTCATCATTCACATGTCTATGGGGATTTGAACCCCTGCGTAAATACGCATACCGCTAAAATTTAAGGACCCCATAGGTATCCTTTAAGATTTAATGTGGGTCTTGTGAATCCTTTTTCCAGTGCTCGTTTGCACTGTGACCCGATTGTTTCTATCAACAACCGCTTTCTCATAAAGCGGTCGATGCTTTGCCCTGATCTGCTTATTCCTAACATGAACGGTATCACCCGCCTTATAATCCTTCGATAAGACACGACGCCTAGAATTATGTCTCTCCAAGGTTGCCTCTTGCTTTTTCTTTATCGATTTTTTCACCTCCCTGTTCAACTTTCGCCTAAAGTTCTGCAACCTTTGGTAATTAATTCTCTCAGCTCTATTAAAAAAAATATCAACCGGTTTCCTATTCGTTACAGAGTGGATGGTGTTATTGTATCGATCGGTAGCGAGCATTATAAGTTCCCTAATACCTAAATCCCTATGTTCGACCTTTAAACATCGATAAATTTCCAGTAAGGTCGAATGGAATCGTTCCACTTGTCCGTTCACTTCACTACGACCTACTGGAGTCAAATATACCTTGACACCAAATTGTCGAATCACGTTCATCACTATTGGGCTGATAAAACCTCGCTCATTGTCAGTCACTAAAATACGTGGTGTCGAGAAGTAATTAAGGATTTCTATAATTCTCTCCCTCATTTGCAAGGCTGAACGATTCCTAAGAGGAAAAAGTTTCCCAAATTTTGAAAATTTATCCAAGACACTAATAAAATACTCATTTTGGAGTACAAAAATATCCATGTGCAATATTTCACAGGGATAAGAAGGAATCGGAGTTGCCTGAAGCTTAGGTATCGGCGGATTCCGATCATATTTGTTAGCCTTGCATATTTCACAATTCCTCGTATACCTTCCTACAAGACTGTTCATCCTAGGGAAATAGTATTTTTCCAAGAGCTGTAGTTTATTCTCGTCCTTATTCCTATGTGCCCTTCTGTGCTCCTCTTCTATCAAGGAACAGACCCTATTTGGACAAGTTACATCTTCTACAAGTCTCTGAGTGATCCGTAGCTTATAATGTGAAAAGTGTTCCAAATAAACCTCCTGTAATAGCCACAAATACTGTTCAGGAATTTTAATCCCATTTAAGACATCAGGTCTAAGTTTTTCCCTCAGGATTCGTGTAAGATTTTCCCTGCTAATTTCCTCCAAAGATATGATGTGTCGGTTGTAGCCAGGATGAGGATTAATATGTGTAATCATATCTGATTGGAATTGTCGTATTATAATCTGATTACGAAAAACGTTAATAGGAGCTTCGACATGTGGAATCAAATCTGTGCCATCTTGTTCGGCACTGTGTACGGTTCCCTCGCTAGCTGTTATAGTAGCTGAGTCTCCGTTCCCTATCGTACCCTCACTAGCTGTTATGGTATCTGAGTCCTCACTTCCTACCCTACCTTCACTTGCAGTGTCAGTGGAGGACTCATCCGCAAGATGGACACATAAATCTGTAGATGCAGTTCTCGAAGTCTGCTCAGCTTTCACTGAGTCGGTTGAGTCTGCTTTTAAGCGAGATAAGGCGTCGGCTACTACATTGGATTTCCCTGGTTTATATACAAGTTCGAAGTTATATTCCTCTATCCTAGCCTTCCACCTTTTCAATTTCGCATTATAATTCCTGTTGCTCATGGCAAACGTCAGAGGTTGATGATCGGTAAAAATGCGTATTTTCTTAGCTCCATACAGATAGGAGCGAAGATTGTCCAATCCCTAAGGTGAGCGTCTCTTAGACGCTGAAATACTTTCCTAAGGTTCCCCAGGTGTTCCTCAATATTACCCCCGTATACTATTATGTCGTCTATATAGACATAACATATTTTCCCTATACAACCTCGCAGGACGTCATCGACCATACGCTGAAATATAGCAGGCGCATTCCGTAGGCCGAACGGTAGCCTCAAAAACTCATACTTCCCATTCATTGTTGAAAAGGCTGTCTTTGGAATATCCCTTGGATTCATTGAAATCTGATGAAACCCCGAAGTGAGGTCAAGGGTTGTAAAATATTTCGCCTTGCCAAGGCTCGCCAAAGTTGAATTTATGTTGGGAATTGGATATGTGTCAGGTATGGTGACGGCATTCAGTCTTTTGAAATCCACCACCATCCGATATTGTTTCTCTCCATTTGGTTTAGGTTTCTTTGGGACCACCCAAATGGGAGAATTATAAGGACTTCTTGACGGCCGTATTACATTATTATTCAGAAGTTCTTCTATTTGTCTGTCTACTTCAGCACGCATACAAGCTGGATAAGGATAACTCTTTGAGTATATTGGCTCATCAGTGGTACACCGTATCTCTGCCCTAATAGATGTTGCTGCCAATTCGTTATTTATTGGTCCAAATATGTCACTAAACTCGGCTATTAGGTCACTCAATGTAGTGCATGATGGAAGTACGTTAATTTCGTTCAATGTCTGAATTCTAAGTGGTATACTGATCCCTGGCGAGATTGTCAGTGTATTATTTTTGTGGTCTATTATAGCTTGAAGCTCACGTAGAGTATCGTCGCCGATTATACCATTGAAAGATGTGAATCCCGGTAGTACATAGAATGTAATTGTCGTATCGTTACCAAATGGGGCAAAGAATTTCCCCTTTACCTTCTCACTAATTTGTATTCTCCCTGATGCAGTACGAACATAAAATGGTTTATCTAATTTCTTTGAACTGGGGCATAAGGCTGGCTCAACAAAGTTTTTTGTAGCCCCTGTGTCTATTAAAAATTTTATTATTGAGCCATCCTTTAATTCATTGCTTACGTATGGTAAGCCGGAAAGGCACGAGTCCGAAAATTTATTTCGTCGTCGGCCGGTTCGCCCTCATTGTCCTCTTGTGTCATGTTAAAAATTCTCTGTTGTTTAAACGGGTGTTGTGTCGACCCGGGACGAACCTGTTCCGAAAAGGCCCGCCTTTTGTGGTTATTCCATGGTCGGTTTCCGGTCCCCCTAGATTGCGTACTCTGATCTATGTCCATTGGTTCTGGTCTGTGGGGAGCAGGCTGTTGCGCAACACGCCGTGGCTCAAATTGTCGGTTAACAAAAGGGTTCGCTTGAGGTTGATACCGGTTTTTTCGGTACAAATTTTTGGAAGGAAGCTTGGTTTCGAGTCTTACTTGGGTGGTGATTCGGAAAGTTATTAAATCCCATTGGAACCTGGACCCTATTCTGACCATTAACCGAATGTAGGGAGACCTGACTCCTGTAATTGGCATTTCTCAATTCCAAACATTGCGAATATGCCTCGGGAAGTGTCTTTGGCTTCATGAGCATTATCATCTTTGACAGCTCGCCATTAAGACCCCTTATGAAAACTTCCAGTGTCCTATTCCTATAAGTCTCTATTAAAACGTTCGTCGTTTCTTCAGAATAAGTTTCCGTCTTCAATTTGTTTATGATCAAGGAGAACTGGTGATTTACTGTAGCGTAGAACTCGTCTACGCTCATACTCTTCTGAGCTAGTTGGGTCAACTGATGTTCTAGTGTGCGAACATCTCTTTTGTCTGCATAATGCAGAGAAAGACAGTTCTTTATCGATGCCCAGTCTTCATCGAATATGTTGTAGGAGGTAAGGGCGGCATCAGCCTTTCCCCTACATTTTCGGCGTATAGCCTGAACAATAGCCCTATATATCGGCTTCTGCCGGACGATCTCATAGTCCTTCAGGATACTCTCCACGCTATGTATCCAGGATACATACTGCGTGGGGTCACCCTCAAAAGACTGCAAGTCCCTTACACAGTCGGGAAGTTTTCCTATTTCGTTCAATTCGGTTTCTGTGGTTGGAGCACGCAGGGGGGGAGGAGGACTTTCGCCCTCAACAACCGGAGGATTACTGGGCCTACGTTCCAAATTCAGCGTTCTCTGATCCAGAGTTTTTAGCTGGTTTAGAACGGCGTTTAGGGCGCCAGTTAACTCTGTTACCTTACTTTGCAAATGTTCCATACTTACATACACATATACATATACATAGGAATTTGCAGGTTCTTCCCTCTATATTTTGCAGGTTCTTCCCTCTATATTTTTACAGTCACCCTTACAGGATATGCCTTCCAATAATTCTCCCTCTTCTCTTCAAATTAATTCACTGGTAGTCACAGGATCGAAATTTCACTTAATTGTCACTGTTCTTTCTTTCTTTAGGTGGATCCTCTTTTCCACAAAAAAAAAATTTAAAATTTCACTGTTTCTTTTTTATTTTTTCCAGGTTTTAGTTTCTGGAGGGTCCCGTAGGAATCGCAAAAACTTATTTAATTTCACAATTTCGGGGTCGAAATTTCACTTAATTGTCACTGTTCCTTCTTTAGGTGGATCCTCTTTTCCACAAAACAAATTTTAAGGTTCACTATTTCTTTTTTATCTTTTCCAGTTTTTATTATTTAGTTTCTGGAGGGTCCCGTGGGAATCGCAGAAACTTATTTAATTTATTAATTTTATATATTTAATTTTTTATTTAATTTTATAAGGACTCCGCTTTCTCTTGGCGTGTCCCTGCTCGGGCGCCAGTTAA